TATTTGTTCGCTATTAAAGCCTTGTGTTTCTTACCACTTGAATGAAAACTCTCGGCGCCATCGTCGAAGAAAAGGGATTCTCCTCTCTTAGTGCTGCGAGGTGCATGACAGCGCAAGTTAACCCGCTGACCATTTCTGTCCAAAACACTGGCCTCAGAGTGTAATCTCGCAAGCAGAGGACGGACTTTGCGCTCTAAAGGAGGAAATAGGGCATAAGATGGTTTTCTCTAGAACAGAGCTTATTAATGAAAATGCCAGATATCCAAGCTGAGAATACAACATGTTATGAACATGGTGTTGAACAGAAGGGTCTCATAATAAAATCCCTTTTATAATCATGGGTCTGAATTGCAACTCAGTTTTTGCAGTGCTGTTTTCTTTTTCAAAAGGTCTTATTCTTACACTGACAACCTCAGCGATGACTGTTGTTGTGGGTTGTAAAGATTAAATCACGATGTAATGGAAAAAAGGGAAGAACATCCATTCACCCACTCGCGAAGTATCTTGGTCACCGCCAATATTTTAACTTCCAAATTATATAACTTTTCGTTGAAAAAATAGAACACCATAAAACGTAATCATTGGTTAACTCTATGTTAGTATCCTTGGCAGCATTCTATGTTTTGTCACACAACACAGACATGCGTGACATCTAGTTGACTTGCATGACCCATGCTTTAAGGAACGGCTTCGGTGAATACATCGAATAAATAGAATGGATAGAGCAGGCATTAAAGTGTTTAGAATAAACCAAAACACAACGTGTGTGGAGAAGGATGCGAGAGAAAATTGAAACGGATTACAAAGGAAAGCCGTTAAACTTGAATTAAACACCATTTGGTTATGGTAGATCTTTGATGGAGAAACCACTGTTACATGTCCTTACGCTATTTGTCTCCAAGAGTGACCTCTTTTTAGATTCTCCTTGCGATTTAAAAACACTGTGAAGCAGACATGTAAAGAGAATAAGGATGATTACTAATTATGGCCTTAGTCTTGCCATAACATACCAGATTCTCTGCTCTAGCTAACAAGGAAATGTGAGGAGAATGACCTTTTCGATCTTGGAAGTGATAAACTTAATCATGCCTTACCACCAGTTTGACTCTTTTCGGGCTCGTGACCGATGTCCTCGCTGGATGCTCCACTAACAGAATAGTGAATATCAAACTGATCTACTTCTTCCTCTTCTTCCAATCTGTCTTGAATCAAAAGCGGAACTAGAAAATCCACAGGCTGGGAAGACAGTACCAACTTAGGTACGGGTCCTTCTGCAAAAATCTGCTCTTTCTTGTGTTGCCTCTTCCATCTTAAATAACATCGGATGACAAGGACTGCTATGAAGACTGAAAGAGTCGCTGCTACCACACTAATGGGCAAGAGAAGTCTTAAAGTCTCTGTAGACATGAGAAAAAATGGTGTTAAAATTCAAAGATCTTAAGCGGGCATACGTGCTTCAAGGAAGGCAACTGCAAGTCAAAGATTTTTCTTTGTCATATAAATCAGCACAAATCGATCAGTTTTTCGTCGTATTTGCTGAAGCGAGGACTAAGCAGTTAACTGGTGAAATGTCAGACTGCTATAACAACAGTTGGCTCCAATTTTTCGGAAGTGTTTACGTTGATGTTTCAGCTCTACAGACATTTTTCGGAAATCGCTCCACTATACGTGGCGAGAAGCCCAGGCGCAAGAGAATAATGCACATCAATCATTTGTTAATTTGCTAGCGAATAAAATCATGTAAAGAAGAAGAGATGAATAAATCAGAAACAAGAATAGCTTAAAACTCTGGTGCTAACCAACATGCAAGAAAACAGAAGTTATGGATTAATTTCATTACACGTAACTGACATTTTTCCAGAAGAGGTCATGCATGTAATGTTTTTATTTGTGAGAGCAAAGAGTGTGGAAATTTCCACAGTAATTAGTTAATTAAGTATGTCTTGTTATAACTGGTTATTTAGAGACTAATTTCCCGTAGCTATCGGGAAAGTCGCACACGTTTCCGCGTGTTTAGTGCCCTAGTTCTTAACGCGCTGAAACGGGTTCACACACGTTAACTAAAGAAACGTGAGAACCGATGGCGTTGCTCAATCAGTACAACAATAGTCAAACAGTGTGGGGTGTACTTCATTTGACATTTAAATTTACATTACTTCCTGTGATGTAAATTCAAAAGTCATTTTGAAAAGGGATTTAAAAGAAAGAGAAGTTTTACGGCTCGCTCGCTACATTTGACTCTTGAGTCAAATAAAACTTTTCCTATTATTGACTCTTTAACTCCCAAAAGTGATGAACCTGTAACTTCTCCCTAAGATATTAATACGTTATTCAGCAAACAGGTGATAAGAATACTCAAACTTATCAGATAGAAGTTGTTATCATGATTTAACGCCAAATTCTCGTCACTAATTTACAAGGAAATGTGCAGCAGCTAGAGAGGAGAATAAACAATCAGATCTGGGGAGTTAAAGGATTAATTAACCTGAATTGTTCAAAACCTTTCTAGATCATGGCATTTTGTGAAACGTTTCTTTGCTTGAAAATTCGTGCCAATCACCGGAGTTAACTAACTCATGGTTAATGTGCTGTGCAGCTGTTTATCGAGATAGTAATTTTGTTAAACTAGAATTTTTAACAAGAACTTTACGAAATGTGGAGTATGCTCAGTAATGACGGTAACAAGCGTGAAGTCAAAGTAACTTACACATGAATAAAGGAATTTTACTCAATGTGTACTTCGATATCACTCAGCTGATTTCCCTTCCATCTTTCTTTAGAACGGAAATTACACCAATGGTCTTATTTTGATTCTTGTCTTTCTTATCAAAGTAAAGGCTTTCCACACTAAATCTTGAATATATTTTTCGAAGTTGTTTCCTTCTTTAGACCTCCACTAGATTATCTAAGCCTTTCATTTTCACGTCTTCTGCCATGGGCAGCAAAACGTATCTATGATTAACTTGTTGCACATAGCTTACATGTATTTTAGATTGTAAACTGAACGGAACAACAGAAATAAGGACACCAAGGCTTAAGATGTCTGGAATACCACGCGGCTTAGAATTACAGACTTGCTCCTACAGTTGTAACCCTCAAAATGTGACTAAATTTACGGGTTATTTCTCTAACCTGTCATCTTCATGAAACTGTCGACGCCATCCAGAAACTATTCAGCAGATCTCTTTCAAATGCCATAACTAGAAAATGGTTGGTGCATCTCTGCGAAGGACTTTGGAATTCTTCCTATTTGAAAAGAAGTGCTTTTCGACGACAGTGACCCTTAGCGCTTCAGTGCTTTTTCAAGTTCCTTAAACCTTATCCACGACGGTCGAGATTTCCAAAAGTGTGGTTAAAAAACGTAGGCCTTGGGCAGCAAAATTGATGTCAAGCAAACGTGATTCGTCTACACGGACATTATTCCCTCAAATTCACAATCTCTAAGATCAGCATTCTCAGTTGGTCATTATTTCTATCATTACGTGACTGATCGAGCGCTCTCCGAGCTATTTCCGTTTGAGCTACAATGCACTCCGATTACAAGTAATCTGAGAAAGTGAAATGCGTCATGATAAAAGAAGCCATTCATTTGGATTCTCTACAACATTTCGGAGTACGCGAGGTGTAGTCATAGGAATGCAGCGTTTGATGCTTATTGTTTAACTGGCTTCATGAAATGTGCACCTGAAAGAGACAAATAGACGATAAAGCAATGTGCAAATGGGGAAGAAAAGAAAAAATGTTTGTGGAAGGGAGGGATTGGGACTGAATCAACAGCTATCCCACAACAGTATCTGGTTTTAGTCAAAGATTGTCTCAATGTCGCTCTTACCAAGAAATTCGCGAGTGTCTGGCCATGGACCAAATTCCTTTTTTTTTTTCTTTATCTCTGAAGCCCGCGTCCCGCCAGTCAATTACGATCTGTCGAAGATATACAAATCGAACAATCAGGAACATCTGTCGGCTTAAAATCCTTATGAAAACATGTTGATATTATTACTTACAACATCAAATTTGTATTATGAAGAGAACGCACACTCCTTCTAGAGTCTGGTACGTTCTTTGAATGTTCGTACGCGCACAAATTGTTTCTTTAAATTTCGCGGCCGGATTTGACAGGCTTTTTAAGCCGCCAGAATCGGAAAGGCTAATAGAAAATTCGTGACAAAGGGAGACTGATTGAGACTGATGGATATGTTTAACAGCGAATCCACCCAACACTCGCGTAAAATTCTCCTGTTTTGAAGTATCAAGTAAAATGAAAATGTCGGAGAGGCTTCGTCTCAATTTTGAGCGGAAAGTAAAAAATATCTATTCTTAAAAGAATCAGGCTTCTGCTATTCTTCCTAATTTTTTTCTTTTCTTTTTCGGGCTTACTTGCGAATGATCGTGAAAATGATAAGTCGCTTTGAGGAGAAAAAGCTGTTGGTCTAAAATGAAAAAGACTAACTCGTGGGGAAAAAAAATTTGTGTAGACTGGAACGAGGCCCGGGTATTGTACTGCAGGGGCTTGCCGTGAAGAAATTTGCAAGATTTCCGAAACACTTCAAATTCGCCGAAGACATACTGATCGCAGAATTTCACAAAATTCCCAGGCCAAATTTCAATCAACGCTTTGGAAACATATTTTCTGCCCCGCAAACTTAATTCTTGATACTTGTATTGAGCATGGAAAATAGAAAGAACCGGAAGCGGTCATCCACGACAGTTAGGAGGAGAACGTGTGAAGAGGAAAAAAGTTGCTTTTCAATTCAAATATTGACTTAGTTTTCTTTGTTGCATATTGAATCAAGCGGTCAACACTCAACCCAACTGTCATAACTGAGTCACGTTTGATCGGCTTTCCTCGTCAACTATATCGGTTGAAACATTAATCTTATGTCTGTCATCCTGCTTACTAGTTTATTTTGTTTCATTTTGCAATCAGACGGTTGCAGAAGATATATTTTCTTCATTACCCTTGACTTAAAAGTTTAAGGATATTTTGCATGACAGATTGTGTTACACAGGAAAAATGACATCACCGGAACATGAAACTTCGTGTTTGGTCCGAGGGCTCTTGAATCCAAACACAGTTTAAGTGCGAAGAAAACGGTTTTATGAATAGATCAGCTCCTCATAAAACCACCTGAAACTTTGAATCTACTGAAAAACAGATTGGTTTGGTAAGCAGTGTTGCATGTGGAGAGAGTCGATCGAATTTGTGCTCTAAATTGAAGAGGAGCCGTCACGCTAGTAGCATCCTACGAGATTTCTATTCAAAACCTGGAATAGAGCTGCGATGGAGTCTCGTTTCTGTAGAGTTCGAAAAACCAAAGAATCTTCTCTACTGTTCTGTTAACGGTTACTTTTGTGGTAATTTTACCTCGAACAAGGAGCAGTGCTCTGAAAATTAGCGCGCGGTTCGGATTTTTTTTCTTTTAACGGTCAACCTACATCAAGGCGGGAAAAATGGAATCTTCGCAATTCATCGCCGCATCAGTCGGACTTGGGGTCTTAGTTTTCATCCTGCTTCTTTCTATCGTGGGAATCGTTTATTTCAGGAAATATCTGACGCAAATAAATGGCTCGAAAGCATCGCAAAAGCTAGGAACCTACATTTCGACAAAAGAACCGCCTGAATTCGTCATTCCGCCCTATACCCTGATTGCGGATGAAAGCGATGGAGAAACTTTGAGCGACTTTGGAGACTTGAGAACGGACGAAATAGGTGGAAAGTTTACGCCTCCGGCCTTCAGACGAGCTATTTCAATGCCACCACCATCAGATCAGTCAGGGAATTCAAAACAAGAAACAACAGAAGGACATGAGGAAACCGGAGCTTCTGCGGTCGGAATAGCAACGGCGGAGTACCGCCCCCAATACAGAAGAGCTGTTTCTCAGTACGCACCTTACTCAACTCAAATCAAGAGAGAACCCGTGAAAAAAATTTCCATCGCTCCGTACGGTAAACTGGAAGTTTCCGTGCATTTTCTAACGGCTAAAAAAGTGCTCTTTGTGCAGGTATTTGTTAATACTTATGTACCAGCTGTTAAGTAGTTATAATTGTTTACAGGTGGGCTACAAAGCGGGGTTTTCCTGGCATATTTTGTGAATTTCACTTTCTGACGAATAATCTCACACAAATGTTTATTTTTCTTTATCTGTTTGTCTATTTATTGTTATTTTTATGAGATTCCTTCATGGCTCTTTGTTTTAAAACAACTTTAATTTGATATAAATCGACAGCGGTCTATACCTTCCTAAAACTTCATTTTGCTCATTGACGCCTCCCTACAAGAAAGAGACTCGAGAGTTTTACAAGGTTGCTCCTTTCGTCGAAAAGATGCTCATGACGGACGAACGCATATCACATGACCTAGCACCTGACATTGGGGAAAAGTGATAAATTATGATACTAAAAATAACCTAAATTCCTCCCCCCCCCCCACCATGTAAGTTTAGGGTCCCCACCGTACCCACCCACAGCGCCTCGATGCATAACCCCCCTAGATTTCCATCACATGCTAGTAGGATTTACATTTGCTTCCCTCGAGCTTTTCAAACTACAAAAAGCAGACACTGACTTTTTTTCTACTGAAACTCCAGCCTAGGACCCTTACAATAACGTTCTTTATTTGCGGTATCTTTGCAGGTAAATGGCGCCTTTGATTTGCCTCACGTGCGCCTTTCTGGGATCTCTACCCCGTACGTCCGCGTGCATCTGTTATCAGGGCAGCGTCACAAAGATACCAGGTCAAACTTCTTGAATCTTGGAACGAACCGAAAATGCATGTTTGATCAGATGACGTTAGAAGAAGCACACAGGTACATTTTTCAATTAAACAGATTAGGATCAGCTTCCCAGTTTAAGAGAACAATTTCTCCTCTCTTAACAAAACCCTCGCAAATCGATTTTCCAATGAATTTCACAGTGATTTCACAGTTTGTCGAGCGAAAGGCAAAGCCTTTTGATTTTAAGATGTTTTTTTTAAATGTTTACTAGTGACATTTTTTCTTGCCTTTAACCGATATCATCCAGAAAACTTAACCCTCTTTTACGTTTGTTCGTCGGATTATGTCTTAGAATCACTCCAGTATTTAAAGGGGGTAAGTTTCTAAAGAAATTGTGGTGTTGCGACGGTGGGAGAGCCGAGCATAACAGAGTAATTTAGTATTATCGACCGAGTCGATAGCGTAAATTGGCCACCGTAAAGAGTTAAAAAGCTGATGTTTTGAGCGTTTTGCTCTTTTTGCTCCTCATCAGAGCAATAGAAGAAGGGCCAACGCTCGAAACGTCAGCTTTTCAACTCCTTACGGTGGCAAATTTAAGTTATCAACTCACTTGATTATACTAAATCACTTCAATATTTAGCCTACCTTTTGCCGCATGGTCCTCTTACTCGCTTTCTCAGTAAATGTGGTTGTTGCTGTTGCTTTTTGTGCCTTTACAGTTCTACCCTTAAGTTTGTCGTCCTTGATTATGACAAGTTTTCTCGGAGTGAATTTGTGGCTGAGGTAATGTTGTCGCTTCTCGAGGTGGATTTAACTGAAGGCACCACGTTGTCACTCCACCTGAACTACAAGACCATCAATGAGGTAAGTACAATGTGCGGACAAAAACATCCCATCCTAGGTTCGCACAATTCACTCGCAAGGCCAGCTTTGTTACATTTGCAATACATACTTCATCTTTCCTATTGTTGTTGTCATTATTTTCAGTCCGCTGACCGAGGTACTATAACACTGTCAGTGTGTCACCAACCTACTGCTAATCACTTACATGTGATCGTTATGAAAGCAAGTGGACTTCCTCTTCCCAAGTCAGATGCTCCTGAAGGATGTGGTAAATGGTTTTCAATATAACACGCTTAATTCTTCTCCTGTAACGCTATTAATGAATTCTTGTATTTGTGACTTGTGCCACGGTCGTCTTTATTTTTGCGATCGGTAGTCAGCTACTCAAACAACAATAACATCAACAACGTCAGTCCACATTGTAGTACGGTACGGTGCAGTGCGGCGCGGTGCAGGGCGGTGCAACGCAGTGCGGTACGGTGCAGTGCGGTACGGTATGGTGCGGAGCAGTGCGCGCGGTGCAGTGCTGCGTGGTGCGGTGCATCGCAGTGCGGTGCAGTATAGTACGGTACAGTACGGTGCATTGCGGTACGGTACAGTGCGGTGAGGTACGGTAAGGTACGGTGCGGTGCAGCGCAGTACGGCACGGTGCGGTGCAATGTAGTGCAGTGTAGTAAGGTACGGTACGGCGCGGTGCAGTGCGTGTGTTGTGTTGTGGTGTGGTGTAGTATACTGTGATCGTTCAGATGAGAATGGTCCGAAAAAGAATTGTCGTCGGTGACATTGACCCTATCTTGATTAAATTTAGTTTGATATACCATTTCTTTATCAGATACCTACGTGAAAGTCCTTCACAGCGTTCAGGGAAAAGTTATAGAGCGCAAGAAGACCAAGGTGGTTAAGAAATCTACTTCACCGGTTTTCAATGAAGCCTTCGTCTTCGATGTACGAGAAGAAGACTTACGACGTTCCAGTATTAGTTGTGAAGTGCATAGAGGGGATACAGTGTTGAAAACAGAGAGGATCGGTCATATAACGCTGGATTTGGAATCGTTTGGCACTGAAGTACGACAGTGGAATGATATGATCACGTCACCTCTTAAGAGAGTAACAGAAACACATTTGTTGCATGCGTAAGGGCAGAAAAAACCGCTGACACGTCCTGGAGACTCAGCATTGTGTTTAGAGCTAATATGTACGCTTGGCTTTTGTAAACGTTTTCAGAGAAAATTTCAATGAGACAGTGGGAGCTGAACTTAACCAGTATGTTTTGTTCTTTGTTAGGTCAATGCTTATTTTCACGTAAAATCCTCTAAAGGGTTTGAAACGGGGAAAAGTGGTAACGGAGAGCTATGACCAAACAAACCTGAATATCAAAATCTAAAATTTACTTTCCTTGGTAATCAAAATGTTCAACCGAAGTGATCTATTCAAAATGCCTATTTTAAAACTAGACTAAGAAGTTTCATTATTCGAATACTTAAGTGTTATAAAAAAGTCTCGCTTATAGTGTATTAAAAGTCCTAAAGCATTATTCCATTGTTATAAAAGTAATTCTCCAAGTCTACTCAAAACAATCCACTAAATTATATAATTACTACTTATCAAAGTCTAGATAAAATTGATAACCTAACAAGTAATTTTGAGAAGAACTATTCTAAGTGCCAGTAATTTAAATAAAAGAGAGACACTTCTTATTTTTGACAAATATTTGCCATGCAGTCATACTTTTTATGGATAAATTTTGTAGTTTTTTCTGGAAAAAATATTGCAAACTTGGGGAAGAATATTCGTTGTTCAGTTTCACATATTAGGATTTTCTATGAATGTCGTCAGATTTGCATACTCCGAAGACGGTTTTCGGATAAAGTGCTATTCAGTCATTGTTAAGCTTGGATATTCTTAAGTTTAAAATACAAGAGATGGTTTCTCTATAACCATTCTTCACTTGCACGGTGAAATACGAACCTCCGATGTAACCCTAACTTTTTGGATCTCACAGCACAGTTCTCAATACTCACGTCCTCTACATAAATCAATCTTGCATCACAGGGTGGTAATTTTCCGTATTTGTACCGACGCATTGTAAACATCTCTCGTGTTGATATGCCACAGGCCACCAATCACATCACAGTAGTACCATTGGTGTTCATGGAATTCATGTTTCCATTTGGAAACCCAGCATTAGCCCAGTTGTTGGATGAACTTGTCACGACGCTGGTAATAACCAACATCTCATTCAAAGCACTTTCCACTGTACTTGCCAAATTGATTGGAGGAAAGAACAATGCCTCCACTGTACCAGGACGAATTAAGCGTAGGGAGGGTAGCCTCAGGAGAAGTTTTCCGAAGCGCGTTGGTTGGTTTGGGTACTGGGTGCGAATGTAATCTTCCAGTGCACACTGGGTACGCTCTTGGAGGCCTTCCACGTGAGTACAGTTAGAGAGTCCTTGAGAATCTGAAAGTGTCCAGGAAGAAATGAAACGTCATGAGACAAATACTGGTCAAAAAGTCATCTTTTTTGCATTTAATTCATATAATAACTAAATTGACTTCGATGGTGTTTGTGAGACAGTCCAAGTACTTCTAACAGAGAATAATTTCAGAGTACATTCCATCCTTTAAAAAATGATGAAAAGAAGTTTTTCCTGCTGAAAGTGTTCTCATGAGCAATTTCCCTTGAGAGACTATAACTTTTTTTCCACGGCAAAGACGAGTTGAACTGTATAATAAAGAAATTCCACGTCTGGAAACGTAGACCTTTTATACTCTGAAATAAGTAAAAGAAATTTACTCCACTTACCTGGATTAAAAAGAATAATAGCTTTAAGACAGCAAAACTCAGCAGAATCTATGTGTAAATTCTTAAGCTTTTCAACCTGTTCTTCGAATAATCTAAGATTTTCTGCAGAATCGAAAGTTGTGAGTGGTCCATTACTGCCTGCTGTTAACATCTCCGTGTTCGATGGAGAGGTCAACGCGCTAATGGTCAGCGGCTGCGCCATGTGAAACGGCGAGCAGTGCTGGGCAGCGTTTAATATGAACAGTTCACTCCAGCACGACCGTAGCAAGATGGATTGATCAGGAAGAGTCAACTCTGAGAAAAAGGGAATATTCTTTGCCCATTCGGTTATGGAAACCAGCAGTCTCGTGGCAAGCTCAGACGCGCTTTCCAATCCTGCAATATTTGTGGAGATCCCGAGGGATTGCTGGTAGCGCGCGATGGTGTCGGCTCGAAGTAAGAGAGTGATGTAATTTGAGTAAAAGGACTGAGGATTGCGCATGTCACCAAGGCCCATTTGTAGACAGCTTACATCTGATTGAGTTGTTGAGATGCGACCTTTCTGGACAGCTGTTGACCAGTGGAAATAAATTTTTAGGCTTAATAGCGAACACTGGCAAAACAGCAGTGGAAGTTACGTAAAAATTAATTGGCTTGCCATGAAGGCTTCAGAATAAAATTTATCAATTTCTTTGCGATCAGCCGACCCATAAGGAATGAAGATCTAAAGAAAGCTCGATCTTAAACCCGACAATGTTCAGCCATTGTGTAATACAGAAATGGAATCGTCATTGAGCTGGCACCAGTACATATGGGAAATCAATTAAATTGCTACCTCCATCTTCTTAGTTTGATAATGTTGTCTTTTCATGGCATAATAGGTAAATTCAGCCGACAAAAAATTACAAGATCACCAGATAGATGCGCCCTTCGTTTGAGTGCCTTCATTCCAATAACTGCACTACCCCACCCCTTTCCCTTCCCCCCTCCCCTCCCCCCCCCCCCCCCAATTTGGGCTAAATTTTTTTGGGAGCACCTCGGAGCTTATACCATGAAACACATGAAACACTGTATAAGAACAAAAATCTTCTTATATTTGACAGAATCATTCCCATGATAACTTCTCGAGGGAAATATTGTTGGCAAATATCACCTTGAACTCTATGAGTTTATTTATTGCACACCTCATCACTAGCGCAGCAGCGTACCGGAACGAAACTAAGGAAACATGGTTGGTGTTTCCTGTCTTCCACGGGACATTTGTTTTAAGAACTTTCTTAGAGGGAAGAAACACCTTAAAATATATGGTTCAAAGGTCAAACTTACCATCTTTCCTCATTCCAACTTTCATACACTTTTTGAGTCTGCAATACTGGCAGTGATTCCTGTGTTGAATATCTACTGGACAATTCTTGTATCCTCTACACGTGTACGAGAGATTCCGTCGAATGCTTCTCTTGAAAAAACTTTTACAGCCTTCGCAAGTAAAAACACCGTAATGCTTCCCAGAGGATTTATCTCCGCAAACAACACATTCGATGGAAGGTTTTGGTGTTCTAGAGCCTTCTTCGGTCTCTGAAAAATCTCCGGGTGAATAAAACGCACTTTCAAGAAGAACCGGTGAATCGGCTTCCGTGTTTGAAAATTCTACGCACGAGCTTTGCGGTTGTGACAAGCTTGTGAGGGCGTTTATGTCCACGTTTATGTTCGATGTCGCTTCATCGTTGAAAGAGTTCATAATAAACTTGAACTGAAGGTTAAACAAGTCGCCAACTGGAGGGGTTGGTGACTCTGTTAAGACAAACATGAATAACTATTGTTTGACCATGAAGAGAAATCAGCGACACAAGAACAAAGCCAATTAGTCGCCTGTGTCATTATTATGTAATATTGATTAAGGTACCAGTTAAACTGACAAAGCTTCTGGTTTGCGGGGGTTGAAATCAGCTGTAGCCTAAAAAGATGTAGATTAAATAAAAATAAAGTGAAACTTTCAGAAAACTTTTCAAGGCAATGGATAAATCTATTCCAAAAGTAATATTTTTCTCTGCTTGATTTGTGATCAATACATTTGAAAATAGTACTTGATAAGATTTAGCTCAGTACAAGACAATTTCTTTTATTTCAAACTGAATTGTGACAGAAAGGCGTTTTCAAAACCTGGTTGAAATAAGCGATGAATACAATTCTACTTAAACTGTACAAATTTTGTTCAGCATATTCAACCCCGAAGTCAAGATGGAATTATTTTAGTACTCAACTAGGTATATGTAAAGTGCTAAAAGTCAACTGCTTCGGACCAAAGGCCAACAAAATTGCCTGCAAAAAATTGTGCCAAAAAATATGTCTAATATCATTTGTTATTGGAGGAAAAGGCTGGAATTTTGAAGAGGTCCTATAACCTCTATGAATTTCTTAGACCTTTTTTATTTTTTTCTATTTACTAAAATCATGAAAACAATTTTTTTTTTCTTTTTGGGCCCTGCAGATAGAAGGTAAAATACTGGTACTTGAATATTTAATCGCTTCAAGCAATTTGGGAGGTTGTAAGTAAATTGAATTAGATTCTGTGGGCGGCTTGTTTTCAAAAGAGATTTGATTGATATGTCATGTTAGAAACTTTATACTACCTAAGACATAAATTTAAGTTATTACAACTTGTGATTTTCCTCTCTTCGCTGGTTGCATTCAAATTATTTTGTCTTGTTTTGGTCCCTGTGATTGGATCTGGTGAACCGTGAAGATTCTGTTTATCTGAACGATCATAAAGATTTTATTTAGTAGCTGTTGAAAGCAAAAAAAATTATATAGTTGTTTAATGTCAATAAGCTGTTAAAAAAGGAAAGGAATTCTGTGTGTGTTATTTCAAATTGACTAATATATGTAAAACCCGAGCCACGCGTGCGGTTGGTTAAGCGAAGTCTAAAGTGAGACGTGTAGCTGACTTGTAATATTCTTTGTTGTGATTTTCTTTTGAAATTTAATGTGTGTTTGAGTCAGGTGGCATGTTTGTTTGCCCCATTCTGTGAAGATATTATTTTGGTCGGGTTGTGTAAAGTGTTTTGACTTCACAATGTATGAACAATAGAATCAAAGATAACTGTATCATTCTCTATAGAATCTATATTGCTAAACTTTCACTGACGCAAAACACTGAAATATTAGGAAAGTAACATAACTGCTTATTTCAGGACCAATTTTGAAAGGTATTTTATTGAACCCGTACATGGAAAACCGATCACCGCGTGGCTGACAGTTTTATAAAATGTTTTAAGCGTGGTTTCTAGTAAAAGAATAGAGAACCGCAACAGGTAGGAGGAGGAAATTTGATCACTTCGACTTTCTTCAAATCACATTCAAAATACTCACGATACGAGATCTTTGGTAGATACAAACACTTTCATATCCTACGATGGTTCACTTAGGGCTTAGAACTGGAAGAAATGAGTCATAAAGTGATTTCGTTTCCAGATCTAAAGCCCTCGGTAACACGACGGTTGATATAATAAGGTTGCTAGGAACACGATATGTAAGTTGTACCACCTATTTAAGAGTCAAAGTTTTCTTCCGCTAAGTAAGGGTAACGAAGGCTCTGGTGACGAGACTGATTGCAAATTAAAGGAGCAAGAAAGAAAATCACGCGGGTATTCTTGTTCTCTCGTATCTAGAAACGTTTTTCAAACCTGCACATATTTCATTTTAGCCCGTGGATAATCCCAGAGGAACCGTCACATTAGAATCAGTGAACAGCATTAAATATGACTTCTTGAACAGCTGAAACAACTAACATAAAAGATCCTTCAGAGTTCTTTTAACTGCGGCTCGAATATTCTTCAACCTCCAGGAAAATAGTAGCGGGTTGAATGAAGAGTTGATGAATGTAATCGTCCAGGAGACTTCAAAAGCAAGAGTAACCGATACAGGTGTGTGCATGTCACCACGTTGTTGAAAATGAAGAATAGAAATAAATGCAGTTGTCATATATGGAACATAACAAATCAAACAGATTATATACAGGTAGAAAATGTTGATAAAAGAGTTCTTGAGTCCAGTTGATATTTTAATTTGCGCTGTGGATTGAAAGACAGTCACCTGATTCCAAACTTGAAGCTGATGGCGCCGAACTACTCGATAAATTTTGGAATACAGAACTGCATTCAGGAGAAGGCAAATGCCGACGAATGGAGCCGAAAAAAGCTCAAAATATCCATACTTCCAAGCGCCAAGAGAAGAAGCCGCTGAACAAGGAAACCATACAAAAGCGCAGAAGAAGGCAACTCTGCGTACGGTGACAATCTCGTGATATCTTAAGTGAAGATGAACAGCCAGGAATCGGTCCACACTTAAAGACGACACAATAATGTATGATACACCACATAACAAACTAGAAGCAAATCTGGTTGCTCTTCCAAGGAATCCGACAAGTGTTGGATCTTGTTGAAAGTGTTGGTGAATTTTCCACGCGATGTACGCAGGCTGTACAATTAATCCAACGCAGAGGTCGGTCAGTGCGAGACCGATCAGTAACACATTTGAAGGCGATACCAATGATGGAGTGCGTGCAAATGACACGAGAATCAATAGATTACCCACAATGGCTAGAACACAGAATGGAAAGTTGATAGCGGCGTTTATCACAAATGGAGTTGTATCGTTAAACATTTTGCTCCAAGATTAAAAATTTTCGTTGAGGTATCGGTTAATTTCAGGCCTTCTTGGTGCAGGTTTTCGTGATATACTCAAAACCAGCCCAGGAAAGGTGGAACACTAGATTCCCTGGTTTGACTTTCGCTCTTTCATAGCACTGAAAGTTAATTTTTTTTTTAACAAGATCAGAGAAGACTGGTGTTTTCCTTACATCATGACAAGGTGGGACACTCTAAACGCAGCAAAGTGAGACAGCTGCAAATGATGATTTTAGTTAAGATTTCAACAACAAAAAAACTCATCGACTTAGCAAGCAATAGAAATGAAACTGACACTTGAAACTGAAAAGGCAGCCTGGAATTTAATTTCGCCTGTTCGATGATATCATTATCTAGACATTTTGCAATAACCGGTCCTTTGTTCACTTTTCTCATTATGATCTTAGATGCAATACTGGCAAGAAAGGTGTTTTCCTTGCGAGGAATTGCCTCAAAGCAGTTTATATAAATGAATAATAGTAACCAACGCTTTCCGTTGGTGAGTAATTAAATCTTTACAAAGTTTGCAATGAAACCTTTGTTGAGACATGAAGGGCGAAAAAAGGCGTAACCTATGGTAATATTAAAAATAAATCAGCTGCACGGCGAAAACAAAAAAAGAAGTGATGCACGTTCTTTGCTTTCCATATAAGCTTCTTTTTCTTAACCGAAACTTCCCTCTCAAAATGAATCAGGACTATCCCTGGTAAACTAAAGCTGTGCATTCACATGCTTGCTCCTTGTCGCAGTTTTGACTTAGGCAAAAAGGCCAGTATTACCGATATAGTCAAGTTTCAGAAAAATGAAAAGCCTGCCTCTCTTCCGAAGGCAATTTCTAGCTAGAACCAAGTTGCCAAAAGTACTCGAAGGCATCCCAAAAGAAGGCCATCCGCGCACGCGCTATAGGTTCTTTGAAATTATATTGACGTCAACAAACGCACTATTCTAGCATCTTTACATACGTCTCAACGAATGTAAAACATTACCTCGTCGTTCAAGGGCTATAGTTTAAAATGCCCACTAAAAAGAAACACGCTCCGTCCGTTTTACTCACCGACGAAGAGAATGAAACGATTCGTGATATGTTAGGACAAAAGAAATATGTGAGTGCTCAAGACTGAAGTACTTTTTAAATTGTTTGTATGAGCTTTTACGCGGCGAAAGTTGTTTATAGATATCGGTGTCTTTTTAAATATGTAGATAGACATAAATGAGGAAAAAGGGATTTTGAAATTAAAACAAGAAGGAACTTCCCCTTTCATTAGCTCCAGCAGAGGCTATTGAAGCAACTTTCCGTTTAGTGCCGAAAGTAATCCAGAATGTGGAATTGATGTGTTTCAATCTTCATAACTGATTGGTTAGAAAACTCTCACCACCCTCACAACGTGATCATTCAAGTTTTCTAGTCGTAAAATAAGCTCCTTTTGATGGTACTCTAATAAGCCATTGTCCTCTCTATGGTTTTTTTAACGATCCTCAATTGAAAAGCACTCCCTTGCTCTCTTGTACTCCAAGGCCGTTCACGTTTTGCAAATTCTTAACTCACCTATGCATTCATTAATTCATTTGTTTATGAGTTCGTTCGTCCGCTAATTCATAATATGCTGTTCATTCATTCATCCACTTTTCAGTCATTAGCAACAGGCATTGTGCAGTTGTACCTCGCCCTTCCAAAGGATCGAACACGATGGACTCATATCGTGACAGGAGTAGCATGCCTTGTGAAAGATGGCACCTTAAAATCGTATTACATCAGAGTTCTGGACATTACGGTGAGTACTCTCCATTGACACATATTATCCGAAGTAAAGTTTCAAAACTAGGATTTCGACTCTTTTCTAAGTGTATTACATCAGAGTTCTGGACCTTACGGTGAGTACTCTCCGTTAACACATATTATCTGAATGAAAGTTTCAAAAAAAGGATTTCGATTCTTTTCCTAGTGTACCATGAACAAATGCGAATTAAACGATAGAAGTAATGGGAAAATTGAGGCTGTAAAAATCAATTTACGAAAATAGAGATTAGAGTCTGAACTCCGTAGAAAATATGTATTAACCTTGTTAAACGAACAAATTGGCTAAAATAAAAACTGCGAAACTTCTTAAAATTCGAAGGGGAAACACATTTGCGCCAACGAAAGCTCAAAGACAACTAACGAAAAAATCCGCGAAAAAAAACAAAAAGTGTCCACGTCAGTTTTCCAATTTCAAGTTTAGAGTTCTTTGACGTGATTGGCTAATTTGTGAAATCACGCGCGCCGCGCGTGAATACAAAAAGAATACAAAGCGGGGTGAGGAAGAAAAGAATTGTTACTTGAAATTTGAAAACGAAAGAGATTTGCTACAGGAGTGGAGAAAACTGTTGTAGGTAAACGTTCAACCCCAGACTCTTCTCCCGAATGAAAGGCTTTTAGAGGATATCATGATTTGACACCACTATCTGGGATTATTCAACGAGTAAAAATAGCTTAAATATATAATATTGTGGTCGTTGAATTGTTTGTAGTTAAAAAGGGCGTTCAAAGAATACAAGTGGTTTCTTTCCTAAAAACCCTCCTCCGTTAAAACCTTTTTGTTTAACAATAGACATCTAGAAATATTATATGGTATATTGAAATTCGTGATGTTGTATCTCAATATTTTTCTAAAAAAAATTGAATAACGGTTTACTTCTTATACATTTTTTAAGTTTTTTTTCCGCACTGATCACAGAGCAAAGAGATTCCATGGGAACAAGAGTTGTATAAACAGTTCAAATACAGAGCCGCTACTGCAAAGTTCCATACCTTCAACGCACATGTGAGTCGAGTGAATTTGATAAATACTGAGGCCCTATTAAGGGTTATCGGGATACGGGAAATTTAGGTAGAAAAACTCCCAATTTTTTTTCATGTGACTGATAAAATTTTAATTTCATTATATACATATATATCTTGTAGAATCCATTTGACAGTAGTTAGGTTACTTTTCATTTCAATCTCAAGAGGTTTATTTTACTTTGGCAGGATTGTCGAGCAGGATTGAATTTCTGTGATGAGCTAGAGGCAGGTGCCTTTAAGGCAGCGATCAAGGAACGGATCAAAGATTTTAGACGAAAAAGAGAAGGTTAAATCCATTTTTCAAAGTGTCGAATAAAAAGTTTACCGTTCGCCGTTTCCTTTTAACGAATATGTATGATACCAATGATTGTAACTATGAGTGAGCAGGAAAACTTAAAATAACGATGGCTGATACCAATATCTCACTGCCATTGCTTTTTAAGTCTTTGTTATTATTATTGTTTTGCGAAAAATGCCACTGTTGTGATTGATCTTTACGCCCTCAAGTTCCGCAAGTTAATTATCTTAAAACAATAGAATTTCTCATCAACAACACCTGCGAGGGCAATATCTCCTGGCTGATCGTTATCCTCTTTCTCATTATCTGTCCGCTTGACAGTGTGTAAAAATTCTTGAGAGAATTGACCGTTTGATGGCTCGTGGGAGTCAACATTTGATTAGGCACGAGCTGGAAAGTACATGGTATTACAGTCGAACCTGTATTAAGTGGCACCGTATTCAGCAGTCACCCTGTATTAAGCGGTTGGTTTCCAAAGTCCTGAATGCTCCCGTTAATCACTGTAATTTTTACCTCTATTAAGCAGGCACCTTAGTAAGCGGTCGGGGGCTACACTTTACTGAGTCCAAACGGCCTATTTGTACTGTCTCCCACCTGTATTGAACGGTCAGTTAAAGCGGAACCACTCAAGTAAATTAAAACTAAGAGTAATCTCTCAAGTAAGATTCAATTCATGGCCATCTCCCGAAATCAATATAAATCATATTTTTGAGCTAGTTTTTGTACATCAGGTGGTCAATTATGGCATTAAATGGTGTTTTTATCGGTTTTCTAATAACCCGATTCTATGAAACTTGTATTAGGCGGCAACCCCACCATTCCCCGTCGATGACCGCTAAATGCAGATTCGACTGTTCCCATGTGATCACATTGCAATTTTTATTCGTTAACCAGAATTCTTGTTTCTTAGAGGCTCGCCAAAGGAAAGCTATGGCTCAACAACAAATGCAGTTCCAACAAATGCAACAGATGCAACAGATGCAGCAAATGCATCAGCTGCAACAGATGCAGAAAATGCAGCAAATGCAGCAAATGCAACAAATGCAAGCAATGGTTGCAGGACCAATGGGCCGAGGCGTCCAAATGGTTCGATACCAGACTCTTCAACCTCACAGCTCGTTTGCTCAGCCAAGACTTATGATGAGACCACAGGCACCCCAGATGATGGCCCGTAAGACACATATTTCTATCATATTGATGACCCTCGCCCCATTTATTGCCCAAGTGACATCTATTATTTTTCTTAGTTGTTCAGTCGACTTATGGAATGATTTTTTGTAGAATTAGCCATTGTGAAATTTCAAAACTCCGAGAACAGGATTTCCGAAGGGCTCCCTGGAGTCCTTGCAAGACAGAAAATTACTCTCAGATCAATGCAACGATTAAAAAGCAAGTGGGTTGTACACAGCACACTTTTTGTTCCTGTCTTCCTGTCTATGAATTCCACTTCTAACACGTATAGGACGAACATAATTGCATTGCTGGATGAACTGAGACTCTTTTAACTACGTTAGGTCGGCCCCAGACCCCCAGTCGCATCTCTCGGTAGTGCTTTGAATTAAATTCTCTTTCAAGGGATACTTAAGGTAAGCATTGTTCTCTAAAACTGCAGCTCATCCTAGGCAACCAGTACCTATACGACCACAGCCTTCTCAGGCACCAATGCAAATGCGTCGGGGAGTGCCAAGAGGAATGGGACCAGCTAGACCCGCCTCTCCCCAGCCTCCCAATCAGCCAACATATTCCAATGCGCCTCAAACGAGAAGGAATGTAGAAAACAATGTGCAAAGAAGACCACCGTCCCAGGCTCCGCCTAAGGGTATAGTAAAACTTCAGACGTACCTATACTATTAACTTGACCATCTACTTGAAACAGCCTACAACGACACTGACAAAGTAAACGATCTTTAGTTACAAAGATCTCCATTTTGATTGTTCGCTTCCGGGAGAATCTACTTCCATGCTTCAAGTCATCGAAATACCAAGACTCATATAACGTGTCTATGCAATAAAAGTAACATCGAGTTCCCAACATCTCAATTCTTTTGGTAGATTCAGTTAATCAAAGACCTGAGAGAGCGGCATCAGCAAAGCCGATACAGAAGCACGGAGAAGAACCGATTTACGGGGACTTGCCCAAAACTCGCCAAGCAAGTGGTTGGTGATAGCAAAATGTAGAATTTGGGATATTTAACTAGCGCTATCAAATCTGGCCTCTTTGAATAAACTTCTTCTTCTTCTTCCTCTGATTAAATTGTTCTCTTTGCGTTGCAGAAGTCGAAGCCAATGCCACTGAAACTCAGCAGGAGGTTACTGCAACCGAAACAGACATGGATAAGAAATCAAAGAAAGACAAGAAAGAAAAGAAAGGTACAGATTAGATAAAACTGCACCTTTAAACCAAGTCATGGTTAAAAAATGGTTTTTTTTCTACGAAATACCTACTGCAACAATCCAAAACAAGCATATTTATCATAACAGGTTTCTTTGGAGGCCTTTTCAAAAAACCTTTGAAAGATTCTGAGGAAAAGCCAAATGAGAAAGATACTAAAAAAGACCGAGGTCCGTCACAAGGTAAATGTTGTCTCTACCTTAAAAATTGCGATTGATGCAAACTTTAATGCTACTCCATATAGTAGGATGATAGAAGTTAACATGTGCAAACCTCAGTTGTCATTCATTGTTGGACGACAAGGAAACAAGAGCGACTTGAGACATGGTTAGGCTCTTCAAACGTTGTGCTCTCTCTCTTTCCTTTGAGTGTATTTTAAAACTATCTGAAAAATAAGTTTAAAATTCGAAATCCTGAGCTATAGTCATAGGTGCTGTAAGTGTTTAAGCTAGTAAATAATGCTGAAATAAAGGGGAGTTGCGTTGAGAGACTCATGCAGTAAGTATTTACAACCGATTTTCATCAAGAGCTGGGCTGCCCCTTTTGATATAGCATCCAAGTAGATGTTATGGTAGACTGTGAGTACAATTTGGCCAATGAGAGGATTTAAATCAACTAATAATATACTCTGGTCTGGTATTTTACAGAGCCTGCTCCCTCGCAGCAATCAGCACCACCGGCCACGCCTGCCCCTGCAGCTTCGCCCCCTCCACCTCCCGCACCTGATTCGTCTCGAAAGGCCCCGCCAAGGGTCACAGCTCCGACCCCTTCCTTGACACAAGCAGAAGCACCAGCCCCTGCCTTGACACAAGCAGAAGCACCAGCTGAGGCTGGTGTTGAATCAATTGCTCGACCACCACCACCCCCACCGCCACCGCCACCGCCACCACCCCCTCCCTCGATGGATTTTCAAATGTCTAATACAATGCAAAACTTGGAGAAACCAGTCGGAGCGGGAGGTGATGAACCAGCTTCTTTTTTAGACAGCATACTAGCAGGACCACAGCTTAAAAAGGTCGGTAGAGTGTTTGTTTCCGTTTTCTAGAATACAGGTAATAGTCTTGTACCCAGACCTTCCACGGCCAAGGGTTACAGTTAAACGGCAGGTTTTGAGTATTAGATTATACAGGTAAGGTTCAATTTCTTTACGTAACAAATTAGACAACGTTACCGTCTCAATACTACTATTATAAGTATAAATTACAAATATCTTATGAGACGTTTTGGTGCGCAGTATCACTGAGTATTTTTACGGGTTGTGCCGTATTTTGACGAGCCCGTAAGGCTCGTCAAAATACAAACTACAATAGGGCTCGTCAAAACACGGCACAACTCGTAAAAACATTCAGCGATACTACACACCAAAACGTCTAATAAGATATATATACTGCACATATATGACCCGTAAATTTTGCTGACCAAATCTCCGTAAGGGAATCATCCATTGCTTTCGCGGGTTTAAACTAAGCTTTGCAATTTCATTAATTTATCTGTCTTCCGTGTATTCATCTACTTGTCCGTCGATTCGTTTTCCTGTTCGCGTTTGTTCATTTGTTCGTTTGGTCGATCAAGTTCCTTCGTTGCCTCTTCGTTCCTTGTTTGCTCCTCTTTGTACCTACTTCGCTCCTCCCTAGTTTCTCCTTCGTTCCTTCTTCGTTCCTTCTTCGTTCCTTCTTCGTTCCTTCTTCGTTCCTTCTTCGTTCCTTCTTCGTTCCTTCTTCGTTCCTTCTTCGTTCCTTCTTCGTTCCTTCTTCGTTCCTTCTTCGTTCCTTCTTCGTTCCTTCTTCGTTCCTTCTTCGTTCGTTCTTCGTTCCTTCTTCGTTCCTTCTTCGTTCCTTCTTCGTTCCTTCTTCGTTCCTTCTTCGTTCCTTCTTCGTTCCTTCTTCGTTCCTTCTTCGTTCCTTCTTCGTTCCTTCTTCGTTCCTTCTTCGTTCCTTCTTCGTTCCTTCTTCGTTCCTTCTTCGTTCCTTCTTCGTTCCTCCTTGTTCCTTCCTCGTTCCTTCTTCGTTACCTTTTCCTTCCTTATACTTTCCTTCGCCACTTTGCTTTCTCTTTCCTTCGCTCGTTTGTTTGTTCGTTCGTTCCTTGGTTTATAAATTCCTTCAATCAGTCACTTATCCTTTGTTAACTTTGCAGTGCCTGTTTGTTATTCAACAGACTTGCTTATCTTTCTACTGGCGCTTTCAGGTTGATGCATCATCTCTCCCTCAACCAAAACCTAAAGAAGAATTTACGGGTATGTTGGGAAACTTAGCTCGTGCATTGGATGAAAGGCATAAAGTGATGCATTCTTCAGGTAACGTGACTAGACGTTGTTCCTTTTTAGTCTTACAAATCTACAATGGATCCGTTCCAAATCCTTCGTTTGTGTCGTGGTTTCAGCGGCGATATCACAAGATGCTTGCAATCAGTACCATGTATTGTGTGTGAGAAATGGTAGCCTGATTATCATATTAGCGCGCTGAACGACCTATCCAGAGGTCTGGGTTCCAGACTCTCACATGTCCTCCCTTAAGTGTTTGCCGTTGCACTCTGGGAAAATTGACAAAATACTGGCGGTAACTGAACAGCTTTCCGGCGAGTAATCCTTTTAGTAACTTAAATCTCCAAACTCAAAAAATAGGTTACGAACAACCACCGAGGTAGTCTTAAGCGCATAATCGCCTGCAAACGGCCATCTACGAGTGTCTTGTTGAGCTCGATAACCTCCGTATCCTCGGATACGAAAGGAGAGGAGTATGAGCTCTATTCTTGCACAGCGGCTGGTAATTGAATCAGTGTCTTGTTAACTCGATCGCTGATCGGTTAGGACGATAATTGCATGGATTTCCGTGTACATATTTTTGGATTTTTTCATGTTTTCCACAGACGAAGATGATGACGACGATGAAGACGACGACTTTGATGACGATGATGAAGAAGATTGGTCAGATTAAACACTTTTTTATAACTTGATACATTGTTTGTACCACAGAGAGGAATCTTTCGCAATTAAAAGCCAACTTAATTCACGGTGATTAGTTGCAGAGAGTGACCGTAACTTAAATAAATATCTCTGGGAACTTCCACAAGTAATTTACCAGACTGACACGCCATATTGCTGTACTCTGAGTATTTGACTACGACCAATCCCTCCTTTTCGGAAAAATCCGTCACACAGGTAAAAAAGAAAGGACTGCTTGTAATCTAGAATATTGTGACAAGTGTCTCGTTTTAAAGAAAAGTGGAAGCGAAATCTCATTACTACATTACCCCCTTCCTCCCCCCCCCCTCCCCACCATGCTGCCAAAAGACAATCAAAGTGACACTCTTATGTTAGTTTATTTCTGGAGCGTAAATGTATGCAGAAGTAAAACGATAACCTTTATGAAAACAAAATTTCCATTACCAATATTCGTTGCTATAAAGTACATGACAAGTCTATTATTTTAAGTATTTTGTTCTTTCAAGAAACACAACCACGCTTCAGCGTTATATATCTTACTTTTAAATGGTCATCTAACTGCATCGACCTTTTTTCATTTTAATTACAATTCGGAATACATTGATTTTAAAACTGGCTGCGGCGCAATGTCGCAAATCCCTAGAGTGAATGATAAGCAACTAAAAGCAAACAAATCTAACGCCAGGGTCCCGCCCGACTTTGCGCACCTGAGAGACTCACCCCCCTTCATGTTCCAGGGACGACCTCCAGATTTCTATCGGTGGTTGACGAGGGTAAAAAACTGGATTTATCTAACAAAGCCGATTGGAATCACTCGTGCTCTTATTCAAATATAACTATTCTGTGCGATTCTAAATGTAGTTTTTCTTTTTCTTAAAAGAAAACCCGTTTTTTCCCATCCTACGATCTATCAGGAATTTGGGCGAAGCTTCACTACATCTCAATCTAAAAGCTACAGTTGCATATCCGATAGCACTCTATCTTAGCATTTGACTGAAAAGGAAAAGTGAGGCCGCAATTTCAAGGAACTGACCTCCCTACAATAAATCTCTAGATTGAAAGCAGTAAAAAGTCTCAATGTTGACGTCTGCCGTCGCGTCATAGTAGAAAACAAAACAGCACACAAATGTAGAAACAACAGGCGCTTAAGTACAACTTGCCAAAAAAAAAAAAAACTTGACCAATCAGACGTTCCCATTTAATTTCTGGCTTCGAGTGCTTCCTTACAGTTAAGATGCAAGACAAGTCCAGTTAAATTTTCTCGCCAGTTTCAGGAATTAAAAATTAAGTAAATATTCACCACCAATTAACTTCACTCTTACAGAGTTTCATTTATCTCTAATATAACTTTACTTAATTGCACACTTAAGAATATATCAATCGCTAATATATAGGGCGCTATAATCTATCCTTAAAAAAAATCCCAGGTTATGTCTCACACATACTTTAACCATGTGAAAATATACCACAATATCTAGATTTCCAGCCAATAGAACCGGAAACTGTCTTAACCAAAATCAGTTTCAAAAGCGCCCTTGGCCCTGCAAAGCGAATTTAGTCACATTATAAAACTGCCTTTGGCAAACAACTTGTTTAAATGAAAATACAAAACTACATCGTAGTCAAAATTAACGTTACATTAACTTTTTCGTGCTATGTAAAGCCACGCCGTTCTAGTTGCATGTATCTATTATTACATTTTTCTCAAGGGTTTGAGGGGGGGGGAGTATGAATTAACTCTATTGAATATATGTTTTTTTAGTAATATTTACACGAAAAAAATCGTAATACCAAATGACAAAAATGTACATATAATCCAAGGCTGCTATAGAAAGACACTTTCACTAGAAAAAAGAGGTTCCTCATTTTACACTCCTACATTGTCGACAAAATAATAAAATCGCTTTGATACCTTTCGATAATTATCAGAAACGAAACAGCCAAATGAATACCATAAAGTACAGCAAAATACTCAAATGTTATCAATTAATCAGTTGTAGGGTGTACTTGCAATAAATACCAATTTTGATGTCGGGTTTTAAGCCTTCGTACAACTACATCTCTAATAAAAACTCCGTAGCTTATTTGACGATACACCTGATTTTACTTTTTTCTCTTACTCAGTAACTAGTGCAGTATTGAAGGTGAGCTGAAAAAGTCCTAAGTCCTAGGTCCTACGGTACGCAGGCAACTTCGCTTATCTTCATGACAGCTGAGGTTGCACTTTCAAGAATGCAATTTATCAATATTTTGGGCAGAGGTCATGGGGCGACACCTCATGAAATGACAAACATGGGCGATACGCTGTTCTGCACTGGCTAATATTTTCACACGCGTCTTCACTCTTCCCCCCCTCAGGAAATAATTACAATTTTCTATGCTCTCTAAGGGTCAGGTCCTGCCTATTTTACCAAATCGATTATAAAATAGTAAAAAGGAAGCTTGAAAAAAAAAAGCTTCCAGCAAAATATAATATTGATAACAGCCTTGGTAAAGACATGATGCCTGCATCACATTATTAATATTACTTCTTTTTTGCCAAGAAAACACAAATAAACCTAAAATCATCTATTTCCTGTATATAAAATTTTCATCCTGCTTTCTCAACGCCCCCAGCCGTTCGCAGCAGCAGAGATAGTTGGATCCAGGCGTGGGCGCTTGGACCCGGGGTCTTTATCCATGTCACGGTCATCTCTGCCGGCCGCTATCCTCCTCTGTACCTGGTAGGGTGAGGTGGGGGATATTGACGAGCGCGAGTTTGGTGACGCTGTATCCCTGTCCGCGGGCTCAGCCTTGATGTTCACCGCGGACATGCCTTGACCAGGAACAGTAAGGCGATTTCCCAGTAAATTCCTAGGAAACAAAGTTATATTTAGTATTGGATCTTTTCGTTCAATAAAATCAACTTCCAAACTGATTAGACTTTTTGGGACCATGCTTTCAAATTATGCCTCCACCTCAATATAAGCCCTCTTTAAAGCCTTGTCTAACCTTTTGGTTAAGGATATCAACCCACCCAACTCTCCCATTTAATTTAACTATTTGACCCTCAGAGTAAATACAGTAGCATCTAATTTCTCCTTGCAATATCAATCATGAATCACACATTAGGGTCACGAGAATAAAGGAAATGATCAGTAACTAGGAAAGCTCTTGTTTGTTCGACAAATAGTCCATTTTACAGTTGCATGCTTGGTTGCCAAGCCTTTGAACTGGAGTGAGGATAAGGGTGACCTTGTTATGATACAAACCTTGCTGCTTTTCAAATGTAATTTACTTTGTTATCATGCTAACTTGATGCTAGTCTCTATCACAACAAGGTCACCTTCAGCCTCACTCTAAATCAAAGGCTTGGCAATTGAGTACACAACTGTAAAATGGCCTATTCTCTTTGTCAGCACCTCAGGAAATGTATGAGAATATGCATATTGATGTTTGGTTGAGAGACCTTTTTGTATCAAATAAGAATTGTAAACAACCCCTTACCCTGCTTGTATCATGTTATTTAGCTGCAGCTGCTGCTGAAGTAAGGCTTGTTGCTGTATCAGAGGCAGGGCAGCAGCGGGAACACCTTGGTACTGTGCTATTTTGTGAGCCAGGGATTCTGTGTTGTTATCCATTGAGAAATCAGCTGGGAACCCAGAGGGCAGAGCTGAAGAAAATGACGGCGGTGCCCCAGCTATGTTAGGTGTGGCCATGGAAAAGATAGGTGTGGAAAGGGAGTGATTGTCACCTGGTGTCTGCATTGGTAAGTTGTTCAATGATATGACTGGGGTGGATAAGGGTTGGTCCTGAGCTGAAGCTACAATGCCATGCCGGTTATGCTGCTGATACAGAAAACACAAAATTAAGGTAAAGACAAATAAAAATGCAAATAAGACTCTACTACAATAAGTATGAAGGTCAACACAACTTAACTTCTTCAAACTGATAATCTACAATAACAATCTAATATTGGCAACACCAATCAGCAAAACAAGAGAACCTCACTGCTCACAATCACACAATAGCACTACTATAAAGAGTAAGCTTCATACATCATTACATCTAAACTAAAGGTTGTTATTCTTCATCCTTCACTGGTGATGTAAGTAACAATTTTAATTTAATCTTCAATCAACACTGGGATCTCCATACACGATGCTTTCAACAAAGAAGATCCTAGCAGTTTGTGGGAAGATTGCCAATTGTCTATGAAGAAAAAATATGGCCTGACTCACCAATAAGCACTCTGTGGCTCAGTTGGTAAAAAAATCCAATTGTAAAGTTGAAAGTCTACTGTTGATGAGACACTGAGCTTTCCTTCTCCATATTGATGACAAAATTTCATCACAAACACACCTGCACAACTGATTTTTTAGGTCACATCACTTACCATCTGTCCTGCAGCTGAGCTTCTGTTAGGAATGCTAATCTTTAACGAAGGCCTGCTGGGATTTGGTGGAGGAGTGACAGCCTGTGGATGTGGCGACACAGAATTTCGTCCACCAGTCACTCCAGAGGAGGGTGTGACAAATGAGCCATCGTTGCCCTGAACAGATCCTGGAGTGACACTTCTTCTGTTGTACTCTGCTGCAGCCACCAAATCAGACATGTTCTGTGTATTTCCTGAAGAAAATGAATTAAATTGATTTCCATGAAGCAGATTTTATATTACTATTTGTTTGGGCACAAAACATTTGATTGAAATTGAAAAATTCCTACAAACAGCTCAAAAGGGCTTTTATGTTTCTCAAAACAAATTGTCAAGGTGTTTTTGGATTTTTCTTCTTATCCTGTTAAATTTTGCCTTCGCAGACACTGAGTTGTCAAAGGCTAGCAAAAAAGTTTAAAACCTTGGCACTTTAATTTTCTCTCTTAGTTAAAATGTCATGTTGACTTCTTGAATTATACGATTCTAGCACCAATAACATTCTAAGAAAAGTGAATATTTAAATTACATTGTCTTCAGCAAACTTTCATCTCTTTTCAATTTATCTTTCTGCTCAAAATTTAAGAGAGAGACAAAATTGCGAGTTCTGATGAAAAAAAAAAATGGGGATGCTCCTAAGTTATCATCATATTACTAAATGGCTAAATATGAATAATAAAAAGGAACAGTTATCATTTAATTCAAGTTTAATGATTACAGCAAATACAATGATGATAAATTTTAACATTTAATTTCAAATGCATGCATGCCATAATAATACCATTTTAAACCTCACTTTTAAAATTGTCACATATCTTATGATTTCCATTCATTCACACATTGTGTGTTAAAATTATACATTGAAATAATTACGAGATATTTTAGAACAAATAAATTACACAGTGATTTTTTTGACATTTTTACACATAGTTAACAAAAAATTAGACCTCATGAGAGTATATTAAAATATAGAGTAAGACATGTTAGCCATTCCTGAATGAATTTAAGCTACAAAATTGAAACTTTTAAAATTAGTACTTGGAAAATTTAAATAGAAGTTACCATATACCATGAATTGAAACTTTACCACTAATTGACTTATATATCCACTACATCGCATTTTTATTTTAAGAACTATCTACAAATTTTTTATTCCTTTTTCTTACTTTTTTATTTTATTTGCCTTTTTTATATTTATCAAGGATTGGATTACTTCTTTACGTTTAAGTATTGGTTATTAATGTAAATTGTAAGAAAGAAACAAAAATTTAACCATCAATAATAAAAGTTTATAATTAAGTAAAATGATTGTTTAGATTTTGTTTAGTATCTTAACATTCTCTATTAATTATAACTGAATCCATAATTGATATCAAAATGTCCATTAGATAAGCTAAGAGTAATCACAGGTTTGTACAATATTGGTCTCTCTGAAACTTTTCATAGTACATGTACTTGAAAGATTCAAATTTAACACGTTTGCATTTCCTTTTCTGAATATCACTGCCTATTTCAGTTCCTTAATCGAAAAAACTGTACGTAAATTAAACAAAATTGCCAGTACACATTTTCAAAGTACAAAATGAATGATTTGAAAATCTTCACTGTGGTTGATTAAAAAAAATGGGTTTTAGATGTCACTATTTGAAAAAAATAATTGTTTAAACTTACAGTAATTGTAGTAAAATATCAAATATCATTGTGGTAAATACATTTAGTGACTTATTTCTCAAGCTTATGCAGAATACTGCTACTATCTTGCTATTCACACTGAAATCAAATTGAACAAATTGATTCCTTTTAACTGTAGTGTCAAAAAAAAAATTAAGGCGTTCTCTACATTACTATGGATTTTGTGATAGATCTGTACATTCTGTGACAAAATTTTTCAAAGAGATAAATTTTGATGGGGGCAACAGCAATGGGTTCACATTTCCTTTTATCAGCTTTGGGAGTTTGATGGGTACAATTGGTCTGAAATGTAAGAACACTCTGATTAGTTCAATCATTTTGTAAAATATTCACATAAGTTTCAATTGCAAGAGATGATCTTCAGATAAGAAAAATTTGACACCTTCACAGTCAGCAGCAATCAGTTTTCTTTTGAATATATAAAAAAAAATATATTTCTGTCTTTATAAATTCAGTTTGGGAAACAACTATGGACATGACAAATTTCTCAATAAGTCTAGACTCTGGGCTTCAGAAATTATAAAAAATTGAAAAAAAAAATATCCATGCCTACCTGCTCAAGATACTAAAATTCACAACTGACTTCAGGATGATGATGAAGCCATTTAATTGCTAACAAGATGTACTTTAATATGAAGACTCAAATTTTCACAGTTATCGCTCATAACTGATATTCAAGAAAAAAGACTGCTCCATCATCACTGTTTAGTTTAGGCACTTCCTATTTCACTAATACTGCCATGTCAGATTTACTTTACACACACTATCAAATGCATATTTTTCACACAATGCAAGGTAGCTCAAGCCCTTGGCACTCTTCTTTTTCAAATGCTTATCTTTGAGGACATACCTGACAGCTCTCCTATTTTCTATCTCCTAAAGAAATATTCAGTTTTCCACTTTACATTTTATTCCAGAAATAAGAAAGATCCCATCCATTTGTTGTTTCATGTTTGCTTTGAATTTTTCAGGTTTATTAATCTGGTCATATTGCTCTGGTTACAGTTTATATATGTTTATAAATAGAAAAAAAACCCTTATTGAGATACAATCATAAAGAAGAGACATAATAGAGGTAACATTTCAGTTCTGTTCTGCAGTGCTGCAGGTTGTGACTGTTCTCATGTAAGAAAAAACTTGGAAGCTAAATTTACAGCAAAGGTCACTAAATTTGCAAACTGTGTGCAACAGTCTTGTACCAAGCTATTTTATGTTCTTACATGTACTTAGAATTTGAAGTCCTTCGATATTACATACGATTATTCAGACTTTGTATACATATAATTATATACACTTTCTTTTTTGAGGTTAAAATTTTATGGCTGGTGACCATTTATGATTTTAAGTAGTCGACTAGTGACTTTACAAGAAGTTTAGCTTAAACCCCTGGTTAGCACTAAGCCAGGGTTAAGTTTTACAACAAGTTTCCTTATTTCTTTGTTCAAAAGCCTTTTCCAGGTAATTTTCTCAATTATTTTTTTACAGCATCCAATAATCAAATTCCAGACAAAAAGGAAAATACCCCATTTTCATTTTGAAATCACATTTCACACTTATCCTGAGTTATCTTAAACCAGCTTTGAACAACCCAGCCCTGTTCTATAAAGAATAAAAAAAAAATTATTTCATAAAGCTTAAATACCTGATATAGCAGCAGCAGCAGAAGCATTCCCCCGCGGGAAGTTTCCATTCATGTGTTCAGGATTGATTCGGCCACTAGAGCTGACCGGAAGACCAGAACTCATTCCAGGTGCATCAGCACTACTAGGCCTGCTGCCATAACTATCTTCTGAGCCATTGTTGGAGGACACTGGGATAGAGACAGGCAACTGATGATAACCATCATCAGACTGATGCTGAAAAATTGAAGCAATTGATTGTTAATCAACAATGATTAACATATATTATCAAATAACTTGCCCAACATTTTCATCAAAAACATCCTATGTCAATCCCTTAATGACAGAAGTACAAGATAGTAACAGCTGGGACAAAAAATGCTACACAGCCCTGCATATGGCTTTTCAAGAAGAAAGCAGAAAGATCACAGGATGAAGGGGAAAGAGTGTCAGTCATGTAGTAAAATGCTTACAGGCTGAGAAAGATCAGGCTAGACATGGTTGAAAAATGGTTAAACTTGGTCATGACTGACAGAGTAACTGCATGACGTAAAGCAAGACCTTTGCCTATTCAGCACGTCCAGTTGTATAATAACATCCACAAGGTAAAACATGACCAATTGGGTTATTTGATCATGTTCAAAATATTACGCCTCATTCTGATAACAATTCTCATAACCTAACTTTACGTTAACATGTACAGACAATTATTTTCATTAGTTACATGTCACCCAATCATTGTCAGTCCTCACTTGCTAATCAAAATTTTCATAAAGACATCTCAACAAAAGGAGAAAAAAATAAAAATTCTTGTTAAACTTACTGGCTGTAGAAGATTCTTTTTCATCATCTGATCAAATTCTTGATTAATTTTGTTGTACTTTTCTTCTGTTCTTGGGGTCAACACAAATTGCTGTAAAACAAAAAAGGACAAAGGATCTCAAGTCATACCAAAATACAGAAACTGCAACCTGAATTCCTTCCGTCTGTCTATTTAGTTTAATAAAATATACATACTGTAATTAATAAGTTTCCATTGGCAATACAATTGAACTACAAAAAAAATCATCCTCTGTGGCAAGAAACTAAGAAATTAGAAAATAGTTAATTTGCAAAATACAATATTTTTAAAAATGTAATGAGGTAATTCTTCATGGGAGCCTAATGCAGCTGAAATGGTCAATATGATGTGTTCAATGACACATTGTTTGCACAATTTGTGTTAAATTAAATGGTCATCTTCCATTAGTGAAGCATCAAGAAAGGAAATGAACTATACACAAAAAACAGGATAAAAATACAATTGAACATTACTGTATTCAATATGCAAGCAACTTCGATGCACACATTTGCTTGATATTTTTTAAAAGACCTTAACCCACCTTATCTGTGTCGTCAGGGGATGGCAAAGCCTTATTCTCCTTCTTTGAAATTGTCTTTGAATGGAACAGGAAAAAAAAACACAACAATTTTAACATTTAAATTCATATAATGAAATTTAAATTTCTATTGACTTATTCCATCAGAAAACAAACATGAATGCAAAATACTAATCCATGGCCAATAAAATGATATTGAAAAATTTCACTCCTGGTAGACTTTTCCCACTAATTCCTTTTTGATTCCTGCCGTTGCTCTTTTGTTGTATTCACTTGCCAGGGGAAGTAAGCTCTACATGAAGAACAAAAATTCCTGCTCAACATCCATTACTTTACCTCAACAATATCTGTGTTTGTCCTGCTCTCATGTGGTTCATTGTATTCTGTATATTTTAGGAGGATCTTGTCCATGTCTGTGCTAGCGTACTGGAACAATTTGTTCCCAGAGTTGAAGATGATGAGAGCAATCTCGCAGTCACACAAAATGCTCAGTTCATAAGCTTTCTTCATCAAACCAAACTTTCGTTTTGTGAAAGTAACCTAGCCAGGTGGGAAAGATAAGAGTTAGATTTTTTCCCCCTTGACAAGCTTATATCACTAGCACATTTACTTTTAATTTTTGCCTTATGTGCCTCTTAAATACATGTAGATTATTTCCTAATAACAAAATTGACAGAAAAAAATTCACACAAAAGAACAACTTGCAATTTCCAGGCAAAACTTGAAGATGTTTAAAGAACTGCTTCCAACACAGGAAGTTGTATCAAAAGCAAGGGAAGCCACAATATTGGAAAAAGTTATTTATAAGAGGGAGCCAAACAAAAGCACAGATTTCACACAAAGTAAGATGAGGCAATTATTTTATTTCTGCTCTTCAGAATAATTGTAGACCACTGCTTCTGTAGGCTATTATTAGGCATCTATTGAAACACAATATATTAAATCTTATCCCTTGACCTGTCAACCCCCTAGCTCAGAGCTTCATGTATGTCTGACAGCAATAGCTAGCATGGCATGTGGAATTCACAAGCTGACATTTTGTAAACATCCAGGTTACTTCGTCTTTAGGTCAAGTATTGCTCCTATGCATGCTAAAATGTCTTTCTGGTGTTAAATTATGGTTCAAGTTTTTTCTCTATTTTTTTTTATTGAGTTACCCAGTTTTTCCCCTATAACAGATGTGAATATTTATCATTCTTTTTTTTCTGTTGAATTCAAATTTTTTATTGATTGAAACTGGCTTTTACAAAAAATGCTGAATATTTTTAAGGGGTATTGAAAGAGACACCTTCATGAAAACCAATCCTGTACATTCCTCTGTCCATGACAAGCAGATTTCTTCCAATTTAAGATTCCAAACATAGTTATCTGGGTGATACACAGTGCACTTGAATGACTCACTTTTGTCTCAAAAAATATACACTAACTCTTCAATATAAGCAGCAACGTCACATTATAAAATTGCCCCAAGGACAAACGCAGCAATTACTCAGATGAAAATGTCAAAAAGGCATAAATACAAGGACTTTGAAATTCAAATGTCTTTTATATTTGAGGCAATTGCAGATGGAACTGATAACTTTCTCTCTTACTCATAATGACCAAAAAAATTACTGAAACTTCAATTTTCCACAAGTAGAAAAAAAAAAGAGACAGATGGTTACATAACAATACTATAGGTAGACAAGTCACACTGCTTCAACTTGTGTTTTTTTCAAAGAATGCACACTCTTCCTTTCTTTCTCAGCAGGTGTTGAGACATGGCTATTTAAGGAATGTTTCTAGAAAGCCCTAGACACAATGCCCTCAGGAAAGATAAAGCTATCCATTGACAACAACTCATTTAAATGAAGGCAACGAAAATTACGCGGATATCTATGTTCTCGCTTTACAAACCAAAAAAAAAAAAAAAGGAAAACAGATCAGAAGTCGTGAGAAAATTGCATATGTACGAAACGAGTTGACAAGGGATCAAATGTATTGAGAAACCCTGAAAAGATTATCTTTAGGTCAAGGATGGCACATGTAGCTGGATGTCTGGACTGCTGTGGAATTTTATCCGTGTTTCACGGTTGATGGAAGTCAAAATTTATATCAGTTATTTTGTTCAGAGGCCAATGGATAAGCAATGTAGTAAGGAAACGGTGAAAAGCGCCCAAAACAATTGTTTCAACGAATGTACAACTGCACACGATAGATTTATTCAAACGTCTCTAAAATGTACGACTTTTGTCAACAAAAACGCATGGAGGTAAACGTTACTGATAAATGCTAATAGTGTGTTTAAAATGATCTCCAAGAAATTAGAAAGACAAACAAAGAGCCAAAAATATCTCACAACACGCGAACCCTAGGCTTTGGCTGTACACCTAATTAAGATTCAGCCATATCAAACCTTGGTTGATGATAACAGTTCCGAGCAACGAAAAAACCGAAATTCGATCAAGATCTTGCTCTGACATATCGATTCTTTCATCAAAATGTGTAGCATCGTTCAGGCTGATTGTGAGTAAAAAAAAATCCATCTCTATTTGTTCCACTGGCCGAGATCTGCGTTTTGCAGGTACCCGGAATTTTGTCGTAAACTATTTGCTCAAGACTTCGCACATCACTGCATATCGCAGCAGTCTCTTCATTACTGCGAAAACTTTGACTTCGATGCCATTAATCTTCCACTAACAAAACACCACACGACATTTCCTTAAACTAACCCAATTGACCCACGAAAGCTAAAAATATCGGCCCATAATGAAATTTTAACCCCAAACCGCTCTTTCTATTTTGGACCTCGGAGTGCAATATTTAGCATCTCTAAGCCGCCCGCGCGGACTAAAAAAGCCACAAACTTGCTATTTGTGTCTGGAGTAATAAAAAAAAGTGCGCTTTGGGTGAATAAGTACCGTATTTGCTTGTTACCTGACGATTTCTCTCGTCACCGATTCTTGAAATCTGGATCTTCTTTCTTCCCATCTTGTGTTTTGCTTTCTTCGGGCTGTCGGTAATTTCTAGTTTTGAAGGGGGGCTCCTTGCCAGAGTTGAACTACAGTGAGTCCGATCGTTTGAGGCGTCGAGCGCGGTTGATCTGTAGAAATGAACAGATTGAAACAACAAAGTGAGTTCATTAAATGATTAACAAGTACCAGCTAGAAGTCTCGCCACTGTCGACAAAGTCTGCTAAGTTATCAACCACGTTTTCTCAAGATTTTTAACTCGTACAATTTGCGGTTCGTAATGATGGCGGAGTTCGATCTTCGTTCTCGTCCGTAAATTGCACTTCAAGATGATCTTAGAGAGAAAGGACACTTCTTCCTCCGCTTTCGAAGCGATCTTTCATTGCGTGAAATGATGTCATGCCGTTTACAATCAGTGATTTTCGCCGGGGATCTTAGCGCGAATGATCTCACTCAGGAAGCATTCCTCACGATACTTCCACGCTGCGAACACGGAACAGACTACTGTATTCGAAAGCAGTGAGGTTCTCGTCGAAAGCCACGTCCTTCTCTTCACAGAACTCGAAAACTAAGGCCGGAAACGTTGCTCAATTTGTGTTATCTTGAACTATGTCCAACGATCGAGGTCCGCTCGCGTTGAAACTGGACTTTGTTTATGTAAAGCAGACGATCTTACAGCACCATCTACGCCATCTTACTTCACTTCGCCAAAAATATTTTACACTGGATTTAGGTTGGCAAGATTGGAGATAAAATGGCTTGACTAAACAAAAGATAACAGCAACTAAGTTCAATCGACAGATAAATTTAGCCGTATGTGTTCGATGAGTCCAGTTCCCGCGAAACTTACACGATACAACTACCTTCGAGGAATAAACAACCACGCACTGTTATCGCCGCGCGCACATGATTTGAAAATTCGTTTAAGTGGAATAGACGACACCAATTTTCCACCAGCAGTATCGAACGTTTTATCTTCTTTAGAATGTAGTCGCAACATAACCTACCAAAGACTGCAGCTGAAGATGGCGAGGAAAATTTTCGGTTTATATATCTTTGCCTGTTGGGACCTGAAACCACGAGCGACATTCGATTCGAATCAGTTGGGCTTGCAAGATAACATCAACCTTCTTATTTCTGCCGTTAAACTAAGCAACAATTACAAGCAAGCATCGATCGAAGAAAATGAAAGATGCTACAAGTAGATCGATGTAGCAAAACATCAGGGAAAACTATAAATCTCCTGACGATAGAAAATTCGCAGTTACCGATTAGACATGGCGTAAGCGAAGTCGTAGATTTCCATGCATCAAATAGTGACAAGATACCATTAATTTTACCTAATTCATTGATAGATTGTGGCAGACCAGGGACTGAAACTTCGAACAAACGACAGTGTAACTAGCAACAGTCACTGCTCTGCACAGGATTGCATTAACTGCAAGCGAAAGGCTACGTAATTATCAGCCCTCCAATAAGTCAAAACAAGAATTTGATGCCCTCTAAACGACCATTAAAAACTAAGGGTGAATGGAATAACCTTTCGGAATCGTAAGGCTATTTCTTTGGCTGTTTATACCTCACTGTAGACGGAAATAAAAATTCAAAGATCTATTTTTACCCACCAGTAGATACGCCTTTTCACAACAGCTGCTCTGACAATGTGTATACGATTTGATCTATTTGTGGAACAACCTCGAGTGAGAAAAGTGCTTCGGGAATTTGCATTTTGGGAGGGACATGATGTCACAGTGATGTCATTGCACCTTAGAGAGAATTTGCCGTGCGATCTAACGCATCAACCAACAGCACAATGCTTCCCAAAGCCTAGTCTTGCAACGATATTTCTCTTTCAAAATGTATAAACAAAGACTTAAGAGATTGAAATAGCGATGCGTGGGTTAAAACGGAACAAAGAGTCTTATTTTTAAAAACTATCAGAAAAAATTTACAGTTAAGAAACATGAGCGCCAAAATGTAACCGTAGACTCGCCTACCCAAATGGGCACACAGCTGACACTTAATTGTTTATCGGGTCACGATTAGAATATTTGGGAAACAACAGACAAATGTTAACATCAAGCTATTTTCTTACCTGAAAAAATGTGACGAATTTTTGTAAAATAGTGCTTCAGACACCTCGAAATGTCAGAGAAAACTTAACAGCAAGCTGCGCGGTCAAGGATAAAATTCTCCCAGTTCTAATGTTTGGTTACTATAGTTGTCGCTGACGTCATTCTAAAGCTTCCTGTTTTCTTTCCCTTTCCAATTTACATGCGGAACAAAAATCACTTTTTTCCCCAGAAATCGAAGAAGAATGCTTTGCTAATGGGCTCGGCTTCCGTACATTTTAAAGTTCCAATTTGTTAGTGCCACGGTAAAAGGAAAAATTCCCAGAAAGGTTATTAAAAAATAAAACAAAATCGAAATATTTCGCTCTGGTAACCGGAAGAACACGAGTAAGGTTGTCATTCCTTGTAACTTTCGAACTCAAAGCCATTTAATTCTTCCCCTTTCCTCCTTTTCGAAACGCAGGCAAAACCGTCAAATCTATGTTCAGATCTGTCAATAGCATTTCAGTTTCTCCTGCGATCAGTGGTTGATTTTCTTTCCGCCTCTTGCATTTGCCTTCCAAATTTTTTTTCAAATCTTCCGTTGCAATGGGGAAAAAACCTCAACGTGAATTTCAAATGAAACCACCGGCATTTACATAAAATTTCATTTTCTTTCGCAAACCGCCGACATCGTCAGCAGACAGCAACAGTCACGTTCCCAAATTGAAGTTTGTTTCAACCAAACAAAATAATTTTCTGAGGATTTTTCGATTTGAAAAGGTTTATTCAGCTGATGTGCTATTTTAAAATATTTTGTGGTTTTCTATCAGAAAATAAGAAAATTTTCGATATTCCTCAGACTTGCGATCTCTAAATGTAATTTGCCTGACTCGGGTCTGGCTGTTGACGCAGCTTTTGGATCACGTGATTTTGTCAATCAAAAAGAGCATTTCATGCTGACGGCAATTCTCTAATATTTAGAGAGGAATCATTTTTTACTTAGAGGTGCCAAAACTAGGTTCCATGGTTTAAAAAATTCACCTCTTCATTTCAAAGATGTTCCACGTCTATGTCCGTAATCATTTTTTCTCTGAAGGGATCGAAAAACGGCCTTTGGAATATCATATCAGTTGGTTGTTTCAAATTGTTCCATAATGTTTATATCTTATTATGTTACTATTTAGTATTTTAATGTTTATTGGCGGCTGATTCAATTTCAGGGGAGACAAGAACTCAGTAATCTACGCTCGGAGGAGTTTGTGGAAGATTTAATTTAGTATCGACTGGGAAATTTTGAATCACATTTGTGGGTGAAATTTGCCATCGTTACACCAATTTTTGCATACGCATGTAGGCAAAAGGAAGCCGATCCAAGCTATAGCGCCTCATTTGTCATTTCGCTGCTAAAACTACGGTAATCTTCAGCACGTATAAGATCTTATGAATTATGATCTGGTATGACATCCGGAATCTTCTGATCAGCGCCTCTGAAAGCGCAGTTTCAGAGGCCCTACAAGCAGACTGAATTCCTGTGACCAATAATAAGCTTTAAATAATTCAATGCGTCGTTGTACAAGCTGTCGAACAGCATGTGTGCCTGATTAGTGTTTTTCTTGCGTCTGAAACTTAAGTTTGAACCTTGAGCGCTCTCAGTCGGGAGTCGATTTAGTAAAATGGATCAATGGTAAGAGTAAACTATTTCATCATTTAAATACTGTCTAACTCTGAGACAAGTGAAAGCTTACGATGAATGAACTTTTGAGATCATGCTCCTTCGTTTTTCTCCTCGACGCAACAGGTGTCTTTTTTATGAAATATGCTGGTTGCATTAATCCGACTACAAGGCTGACGGCCTGGGTAAAGATCTTTACTTGTCTTTTTCGTATCAGTAGGAACACTGCATTCTTTAGCACAGTCGAGATTCAATAAAGTTGGCTGCAAGATGCTCGACCGATGGCTCAGTTCAAATACATTACGTTTCTAATTATCTGTGGCTACACAATCCATGACCAACGGAAAATGTAAGAAATGTAATAATAGCTTCGCCGTTGGATCGAAAGTACTACTAGGGGACCTTTAGTAGTTAGGAAGGCAAAGTCAAGGAAGACGACGACTTAAAAACTGAATACATATGTTAATTCGAATTTTCCCGAATGACTGGATGTGCTTACCATCTCTTATGACGCCGCAAGTTAACCTCAGCATAACGTATGAGAGCGGCGTTGAGTTCCCAATGGAAACTTAAATAATCTGCCGTCGGGCTTTCCTTTCTCGGACCACGCAAATGCTGAAGATTCCACGTTTTTATTTTGCAGAGGACGGCTAAGAAATGTACACAATTTTAAAATGCACGTGCTGAGCTATTGTTCTGCTCATTAGATCTTTTGCTTTGCCACGTCCTCGTTGCCGTCGCTGTCGTGGTTTGCTAAAGGTCAAGGAGGAACACAGGAATCCCTCCACAGTCTAGCTGATACAAAAGAAGATGAATCCGAATAATGCCAAACTACAATGCATCCTGACTGTTACAGAAATCGGTTAAGCAATGTTGCGCATTCACAAAACGCAAGATTCTGCTTCCTTCAGAAGAAAACGGTTACCCATTGCAAGGGTATGTAAATGGGGCGAGGCTGTTTTGAAATCGCGCATCAGCTGATATTCGCCGAGAGGGTGTGCCCTTGATTTCGTTCACAAGTACGTCAACCAACACAGCAAATAAACAAGCGACATTTTTTACTATTTTCAAAACTTTTATCTGTCAGTTAAGAAGGCCATGAACTGTGTAAAGAAATGGGAAGAGAATCAGCCTGATACGGGTCAAAGAACGCACAGTCTAAGAGCTTTCTCGGTAGCTGTAGATTGACATTAAACTAATCTGCGATACGCTTTCAAAAATAGCTTAAAATATACTTCAGGTAGCAACGGGCTAAATTTAGATTTCAACCAAGATGTGCTCAAAATTTTATTATCACTTTTAAAACACAACAAAAAGGTTCGGGGGGATTCGAAACTTAAATAAGAAAACTTCTCCCGAGATGAAGTGTTTCTAAGCATTTATATTTCACATAAGTGTCGGGCAAGGTAAACAACGAAGATGCTCTGATTCGTCTTATACCTTTGCCATCGTTTTTGGGCTGAAAGAAAACCAGAGCGAGAGAATTTCTCATCACAGACTTCGGATAAGGTTGTATTTACTGCCGAAAATATTCCATGAGAGTTTGTATTCGGAAAAGACATGTTCCCAAGATGACGATCAACTCAAAATGTAACAATGCTGTTTGCTTCAGAAGATGCACCACTGGAAGAAAATGAAATATACTCTGCATACTCTGACTCACAGCTTTCGAGTAAAACTTGAAGTATAACCTTTAAAGGCTTTTATTTCAATGGGCTTTTTTTATTAGATTTAAAAAAGAGCTAACGCGACATTTTCATTGACAAAGATGAAACAGAAAATGTCGTCAACTGCTTATCAAGCAGACAAGTAGTTCCTGCGATTAAGAGGGGGGAGCTTCGTCTTTCGCAGACACAAGAACCGCAAATTGTCTAGGTGCTCGTGTTGAAATCAATTACTGCTAACGAATTAAACCACAAATTCAAACCCTGAATGAGTTTACGAAGAGCTGCCATGTTTGGATGATCAGACTTTAGAAGTTTGATATATTATGGAGGCCACAGCCATCAAGGCTGTAATAGGAGTAAATAACCCGTGAGTCGTAAATTCATCACAGTGAGCTATTCAAGAGTAATTCCTCTCACCTGAAAATCATGTGAATCGTCACGCCTTCAGTCAGTAAATTTCATCATCATCATGCGAAACTAATGACGGCGTTGAGACAAATTTGTGGTGTGTAATCAGTCAACTTTGGCGATTTCATGGGCGAATGCCAGAAAAATAATTTTATATCTTTTTTCAAGTCCCATATACCGGCAAGGAAAAATAGCAAACAAACTCCGTCGCAAACTGGTATAAAACTATATATATAACCTGAAAGTTCTCTTTGATAAAATTCAAGTTAAATCACTTCTCAAATTATGGATTGAGTCAACAACCTGGAACGCCAGAGAGAGGGGCTACGTAGGAGCTACATTACAACAACTTCCAAATTCTAGCAATGAAGCTCTGCTGTACCTGAGAATGATATGGAATTCTGGGAGATAAGTAAGATTCACGAGACATGAAAAGTCGAAGTCGATTTGGTACACTACAGAATACCAAAGGCACATTAACTTAATTTATCACTTGAACCGTCACGGGAGCCTAACCGTGACTGGGCAATTTTTAAGAGCACACAAAGATTGAGTGACTATTTTTAACTTTGATGTATTTTACAATTCATCGTAACATACTAACGTTCATCCAAATCTTTTTAGACTTTTTTTTCAGGGCGGTCCGAGATCAGAGCTTTGAAAGAGGGTGTTACCTGCTTTGCAATTCTGAATTATGAAAAGGGGA